GGGTGTAATGTTACTGACATAGCACTTTGCTTTTATGAGATATCCAATCATGAATGTTTGTTTTTCTGTACATGTCAAAAATGTGTAATATTGTTTTGTAAATGGCTTTTCCAATGCACTGTGCTTTATGAGATGAACGTAAATGACCGCTTCTTTATAAGTCTTTACCATAGAATAACCAAGCGTTATCTGCTCAGCAACTAGTTTTGAGAAATTTGTTGTGAAAACGTTTGAGTTTGACAACATGAAAAGGTTGTTTTTTTCCGAATGCAAGTCTTGGACTATCTTGATGACACGGGTGGGGTTCATGGTGTCATATCTTGCAAAAACTGTAAATAACTGTGATTTTTTTATTTAGATTATGTTACGCCCCTTGCAGCACCTTATTAGATCATTCAAGGAGGCGTGTTTCCACCCTGCCTGTCAGGGACAACCCAGCACAAAGCCCGAGAGACTCGATACAAATTCTCCCCATTCGGGAATCGAACTCTGGTCCCCTGTGTGCGATAGTGAAGCACCTGATTGCTACACCACACGTGCCTGTCGAAACAGCAGCTGTGGTCATCGATATACGCAATGGCACGGACGCGGGGGTAGTCTTTACTGTTACCTACTTTTACTTTAGTTTTTCATCCCCTGTTGCCGTTAAGCGTCGAGGGAAGGTGACGTTTTCTATGGTAGGCAGCTCCGCAGTTCTCTCAGTTAATAATACTACTAATAATAAATAGCATTTGAATAGCGCATGTCCCCACTCGAAAGCAAGCTCTATGCTCTTTACACTATATTACGGTTACTTTTATTACCCGTAAATGAGTACTTTTTATGAAGTGGCAACTTCTTAAAATGTGGTTTTATTATCGTTCTATGCTAAATGCAATGAGAGGCATAGTATTATGCATCTTCATCTCTGTCCAGTCTCTTCATTTCTTTTAATTCTAAAACCCCTGCAATGTCACAACAAAGACAGGGTGGTTGGCGGATGCTCTGGTGTGGTTTGCTCCTTTTTCCCTGTCAAACATCTGTCGTCCTTATCTCCCCTCCTTCTTTTTTGAGTATGTTACTCTCTTGTAACACATATTCTCTTCTGCACTTATGACCTTATTGTGTTGCAAGTGCCGTAAAACTCTTACTAAAACTTTAAAAAACCAATGTCACAACGACGAAATACGAATTTTGCAGCGTGAAAATATAATTTCAGTTGTTTAATATTCCTGGGATGGGGGAGTTGTATGCTTGTTACTTAAGTCTACAGTTGCAAAGAATTTTCATGGGTGGTTGGCGGGTGCTCTGGTGTGGTTTCCTGTCAAAACATCTGTCGTCCTTATCTCCTCTTTTTCTTTTTTATGTTTGTTTCTCTCTTGTAACAGCCCTAATCTTCTGGCGCTCATATGACCTTATGCAGTTGCGAGCGCCATGAAACTTCTACTAAAGCTAAACTAAAAGAACTTTCACGCTGTTATATCGATAGCATTCTTTTCAACATCGATTAACTGTTTATTTACACCTTTCTTGTTTTTAACAGAGCTCACCCCAGCACAATATTTTTACTCAGTGGTTGTGAACTATCTATTATCGGATGTTCTGGCTCCGTTCCCCGACGAGTGTGCGGGAAATCAGAGCGCAAACCTGGCGACTAGAATCGAAGCCGCTGCTCCGGTGTGCAAGAGCTACAAATACAGAATTAAGGGAGCGGCAGACACTCGTGGAACAGGCCCTAATACGGTAAGAAGTCACAATGTGAGAACTGCAACACATGGCATTGTCACTGTCTTTGATTGTATTTGTCTGTATAGGTTTAAAACATCCTACTACGAGTAATGAATATGAATGAAGCGAGCTGACAAAATGAGTTACTTCTCGGATTCAAACCCTATGGAAATAGATACACCACGCTCATAGGTGAAGGTTTTACCATTTACAAGCATAAAATAACAAAAAGCATGTTAATTTTAACGAATATGGCTTCAATAGAAAATCTACTAATTTGACCGTAGAGTCGATTTTGGCCAATATCTCCATTTGTGGATAGCAAAAAGTAACTCGTTTTGTCAGCATGCCTCACATATAAAAACAGCAATTAATGCAAAAGCAAGGTTCAGCCAAATGCACAAACTATTTGTGTGTGCCCAACGGAAAGCTACCAAAAGTCGGATTTTCACCATTTTGAGTTAAGGGTTGTACCTTATAGGAAATCCGATGCTGAACACAGGGGTATTTGAATTTTTTTAGATGTCTCAAGTAGTTTTCGAGATATTGCACATTTTGCAAGGTAGGGTATAAAGATAGAATTTTGAGAAAATGAGCTTTTAAGTTAAACAAACATGAGAACACACATAAACTTTTTTAAAATCGATTTTTAAAATACATTTATTCATAGAAAATTCATGTCCAATTTGGCATTCAGTTGACATCAATATCACGAATGGAATCCAATGGTAAAACATAGCAGGGAAGAGAAAACTTGTTTCAAGAATAGATTTTAACACCTTTAAAAGCAGTTTCCATTATTAAAATTTGTTTTTATAATACCCTACCCTCAAAATAATTCAAAATAAAATATTTAGAAGTCAAATCAATGAAAACCCTCTGAGCACATTATAAAAATAAGGTGGATCTATCTTTTTTTTCTTTTTTTTTTTTTTTTTTTACAAAAACACATTTTGGTCAAAAAAGGAATTTTTGTCATTTTCAGCCAGTAGCTCGAAACGGTCTGGGGCGACTGTTGGTGCCTTTCTCTAGGCGCACACACATTTATGTCAAGACAATTATCTCTACCTTTAATTAATTAGGAAAGAAAATGATGGAATGTTACATCTTCCCGATATTCCTGACGCTGAGACCTGGACTTTAACAAGGAAAGGGAAAGAAGAAGACAAGAAAAGCTGCGTTTGAGATGTGGTGCTGCTGCAGAATGACCAGGCCAGAATTAGCTGGAAAGCAAAAAAGACTAGCAACGAGGTGTGTCAGATACTCCACACAAGACAAACCATACTTTGGTCTCTTAAAACGACACTAAACTGTTGTGAAAGGGGTGCTTGAAGGAAGGATGTGGGGCTGGAGAGCCAGTGGAAGACAAAGAGTAACATAGACTGAGCAGAGTGCAACAGCAGCTCGCGACCGTGAAGGCTGGAGGGTCATATATAATAATA